GGGCCTACAGGAGCAAGATCAGAAAATGCTGGAGACCCCTGCTCCCCCTGCCACCCAGAGGCCGAGGCTGCTCCCCAACCTATGCAGGTCCACAACCACTTCTGAAAAGGCAATTCTGCCTATCCTGGCATCTAAGGGGAGTATCCTCATCCTAGCAGCTGAACACTACACACACATACACACACACACATACACACACACACAGCATTTTAAAAGATCAGGATGCTAAGTGCAATGAATAATAACTATAAAAATATGATGAAAAGTCAAATGCAAAATCCTTTTCAGGCAAAGGCGAATCGTAAAAAGCCATTTTTTAAAAAGTCACTTAATTCATTCTCCTATCATTAGACAGAACCAAACTCAACCCTCAGAAGAAGAACAAGGAATGGATCTCCAGCTGATCTCTCTACACAAGGTCCCAAGCTGCTGCCCCAGGAAACCCCTGCCAAATGGCTGATGTCAGCTCGGGTTCTCAGCGTTTCCAAGAGGAAAGGGGTGGGAGGAATCCACATTGTACTAAAATGTACTAGAAGTAACTCATAAAACATTTGAATAATCCAACCATTTTTAATTCTTCTGTAATTTCTGTGATGATTTTAAATACAATGAACCCATCTGACATAAAGGGAGTATCACAGGAACTCTTCCAGGATCCCCATTATAATTCATCATTAACTGGACACGTGTTCCAGTATTACCCAGCTCCCTGCTATCTGCCTCGAATAGCAGGAGGGAAGCCATTTCGTTTGCCTACTGGCGTGCTTACCCATTTAATTACCAAAGATGACACAGTGCTAGTGTGATCCAGGCCCCAGTGTGTGTGTGCCCTGATGACCTAGTTTAATAAAATCTGGCCTTGCCTCCAACAGAACACAGCTTTAACTCCTAGCTAGAGAGCCAGACAGCAGTATGTATCTAACAGTAGAAGCAAGCAGTGCATGGAAAAATGTGCAGTCTTCTGCACATATAACAGACAACAAAGAAACCTACATAGTTTCTATCATCTTAACAGGATCAACCACGTGACATTTGCTGACTCTGCCTCTCCTCGCCCCAACAACCAATTTCCTAAAATTCTGGGCTCTGGATCTATGGATTTAAATATTAAAATGTGTCTGGCCTCCTCTTCTCCTGTGTTTTCTAAGGAAAAGATAAATATGGAAAAAAATATTAACCTCACCTTCCCTGAAATAATGGACTCTAAGACCCTGGGGCTTCTAATCTATTCCTCAAAATAATGCTAAAGCAGAAAATAAGACACACACACTGCTGAGTTTCTTCACATCCTCAAAAATCTGAGGATATTTCAGTCCTATTTGACATTTCGATATTTTAGAATCACAGGACCTTCTTTGGCAGCGGGGGAAAAAAGCCCCAACATATTCTTTAAAAATCTCTAAGGTCTCTGGGAAACAAATTGTAACCGACAATTCCCTCCCATCTCATTATGTGGTGCAAATTTATTTTTAGGATTCCGCTGGCCTTGTTCAGCTGGTGCCCTCTAATGATAGAACTGTTTGCTCAGTTTCAAAGCAATTCTGTGTATGAAGCTATCAGGCTTCATATTATGAGGGCTGAGACAGGCTGGTCTGAGAAAGGGAAAACCAAGTCTACTGGATCTCGTCAAGCGTCCAGAGAGGTAGTGCAGCAAACATCATGGTGAAGGGCATGGCTGGCTGCACGCCCCAGCTGGAAAATGACGGCGATGGCATCCTCACAGGGTGTTTAAGGAGAAACCGAGAAAAACGAGTGTGCTGGGCTCCACACAGCACCAGAGCAAGTGACCGCTCACTATGTGTCACATATTATTAGCATTTAAACACTGTCAAATGATTCCACTCCATTAAGCAGACATTAAGCACATGGCGCTAGACACTTAATAAAACAACCTCCATCACATGAGGACCTGCTAACATCCCTTTTTTAAAAAGCTACTCTTTACGTCTAAATCTCTCTTACAGCAGAGTGTGTAAATCTTTAGATAATCAACATAAAGAGTCTCTGATTTAAAATAATCAAGATAATTATTTGGATCATGTAGTGATAAACTGCTTTAATCCAAAAATTATGGAGATTAATGACAATGAGAATGATGCATTGTTGTTAAAGACATGATTCTGTGTCATTTTAACATTTGTCAGGCTAGTTTTTACATAAAGACTTCCTCAGCATTTTCTAACAGCAAATACCATTCTCCCTAATGAAAGGTAAGGAAAATGGAACTACAAACTTATTAGCTTAATATCACAGGTGCCAAGTGCTAGGCCCCAAAACATCTTCCTACTCTCACTCTTTCCTTGGTATTCCAAAGGCAAAGAAAAAAATCAGACCTAATATCCACAAAGCAAAACAGACATCTAAGCAATTACCTGGGGGAGGAGGGTACTGGTTCTTAAAAGCCTCCTTCTATCCACTTACCCATTTTCCTTCTGCTCCCTCCACTCATTAAAAAAAAAAAAAAATCCACATATCTTTCTTCAAAACATGGATCGTGTATGTGTGACAGGGGTGGGGAAGAAAGGTTTCAGATGTAAATAGTATCAGGGCATCTTCCCCTAAATCACCTACATGGTTCTCTGAATGGATCATGTGTTTCTCTACTGTATTCAGAGTATCAAACCCCCACCACACACACACACACACACACAGGAAAGAAAGGTGGGCCGTAAGCAGGGGTATGGGAAATAAACATCAATGTTCACTGGAATTATAATGACTCTCTGAGGTCTGTTTATCGTTATTCTTAATGTAAGTGGTATCCTTTGGGGGAAGAAGGGATGGGTAGATGATACAATAAGAAAACTAGCTTGGCATTCCACAAGAAGGAGCTCCTTGAATTGCCCTCCAATCAATTCTGTCAACAGCACCGAGGAAGCAAAAGCTTCTTCTCAGGCCACATATTTTGTTTCCATGACCTGCATCTTCTCCACCTTCCATTTCCTCCCTCAGAGGAGTCAACATCATGGCGGCTGCCGCCATCCCTCCACCAGAGCCCCCGCAGCTGCCACCACCATTCTGACCACTTCTACAGCCATTACCATCTATCCACACCGCATTAAGTTTTTTCCCGTATCTGTTCTTCTTGTCCTCAATAACACATAAGTTATCAGTCACCTTCTCGACCTGCAGCCCCATCTCTCACCCTAAAATACCGCTGCATCCTCCTTACCCTGTATTTACCAATCAATATCTACCCATTAACACCAACTTAACAGCTTTTTGTCTCATCAGAAGATTAATTTAAAAATCTGTGAAAGGGGCACCTGGGTGACTCAGCCGGTTAAGCGTCTGCCTTCGGCTCAGGTCATGATCCCGGGGTCCTGGGATCAAGCCCCACATCGGGCTCCCAGCTCAGCGGGGAGCCTGCTTCTCCCTCTCCCTCTGCCGCTCCCCCTGCTTGTTCGCATGCTCTCTCTCTCTCTGACAAATAAATAAAATCTTTTAAAAAAAAATAAAAATAAGTAAGAAAAATCTGTTAAGTAGGGAAGAACCAACCATTTTGAACACCCTCAACATTTTGAAAGCAACTCCCTTTAACCAGGGGGAAAAAAAACACTCAAGTTTAAATAGTCTTTGAGAACACGACCATCACAGAAGTGGTAATCTACAGAATAAAGCCCACTTGAGTAATGGTGGGACTCAGAAAGTACATACTCTATACCACTAAATCACAGGAACTCATCCTAAATTTGATTTAAAACATACAAGTTTAGGTTTTCCTTTTCTAGTTTTACCCCTAGAAAGCTCAGACTACCCTTTCTGGCCTCCAAAACTACAGAAGCCACTGTCCCTCTGATAAGTTTCTTCCATGTCACCCAAGTGTCCAGTGAAAGCCATATCCCACACTGTTGTTCCTCTCCTCTGTCCCCAATGATCAGACTTAATAACAAGCTTTCCTTTCCTTAGAGTCTACCCTGAATTGAATCCCAACAAAGCAGAGCCAGCCCGGCAGTTGTTCAAGTTGTACACTATGCAAGTCCACCACATTTAAGGGAGCACCAATCACATCATTAGCATCTCTGATCTTTCAAACACTGTGCATCATTGTTACAACATTGAGGGTTTAAAGATGGGTAATTTAATTATTTATATTATAGTTTTCCAGCATATGGCAAGAAAGTGTCTTATTCTAAAAATCAGTATAGTTCGATGATTTTCCATCAGATGGAAGTAAAATGTCTACGGAAGGGGTGCCTTTGTCTAATTTGCACAAAATGCCATATGGGACAGCAGCAGCCCTCGGAAAAGCTTCTCTCAAACATTTTAAACTTTCTGTGGTCTTGGCTGTTCACTAAAGCGTCTGCTCTTGGTTTCATAAACTCTGTTTGCACTGCATTAACTACCCCCCACACCAATCTGGGCTCTCTCTCAATAATTTCAGCTATCAAGCACATCCTCCCCTCAAAGCAAGCCCTTAAGTACCAACTGCATCCTCTTGTCCTATTTCTGTTAACTGATATTACTAAACACATGTTAACAATAAAACAATAACCTGTTGTCCCAGATTAATTACCGCTAGGAAAGAGATATCCATTATAGACACATTCCACAAATTTAACATCATTAACAACCATGTTGCTTGAACTTGAGTTTCATCAATATCTGAATAGATTCCTCACATTTTTTTAACGATTTTATTTATTGGGAGAGAGAGAGAGAGCATGTGTGAGCAGGGGGAGGAACAGAGGGAGAGAGAGAATCTCAAGCAGACTCCATGCTGAGCACAGAGACTTGATACAGGGCTCAATCTCATGACCCTGAGATCATGACCTGAGCCAAAATCAACAGTCAGACGCTCAACTGACTGAGCCACCCAGGCACCCCAGATTTCTCATATTTTTTAAAAAGAAGAATTAAAGTAAGTTTCCATATCAGAATTCATTTTAATTGACTTTTTTCATTGATAATATTTACCAAAAATTTACCACCAGCTATTTCCTTTGAGTGCCAGGAACCCAAGTCAAATGAAATAATAATAGAGAGCCACATAAACTCACCTTGACCCCCAGAAAACGAGTTTTACTGCCATTGGTGACAATTTGCCCTAGTTGACAGTCCAGGTATGGAAACCTTAAAAAGCAAAAGACAGAGGAAAACTTAGAAGAAAGGAGACAGATTTAGGAAAGCATAACCAGTTACTTCGTGGTAATACTGCTTCTCCCTGAAACAATAAAGTTAGTTCAGGAGTGCTCGAATCTATGCAGTAATTGTACCGCAAACTCTTCATAAGTGGAGTTGTTTCATGAACTCACCATTTTTCCATTGGCTGTGTCTCGGATTTCAGAGATACTTCATCTTATTTTCAGATTAATCCTCAATGAATACATGACTTCAATTTTCTTTCTTTCTTAATCCCTCAAGAAATTAATGATCTGAAAACTGATTCTTAAATACACCATATAAATGAAGTATCTTAAGAATTTAAGACTTGGCTCTTGTCAGGGGAAGAAGACCTCTGATGCATGAATAATTATGTGTTTAGTAGTTCCTAATTTTCTTAAATGACACCAAATTTACACTTTGTTATTTCTTATTTTCTTCTTATTCAGAAAAAAAATGAAGAAGAGGAACTACGAGTCCCAAAATATTTTTTTAAGTGGCTCCATGCTCAGCACAGAGCCTACTGCAGGACTCGAACTCACGACCCTGGATCAAGACCCAAGCTGAGACCAAGAGTCAGACACCCAACTGACTGAGCCACGCAGGCACCCCATGAGTCCCACAATATTAACAACAGTAATATTGATTAAATCTATAATAAAACTGTATTTCAAAAAAACAGCAAAAATTACTTTCCTAACTTGTCCAGCAAGTTAGGAAAAACACAAATTTTCCTCCCAGATTCTACTGCAGTAGATGCCACAGGATGCCTGCTGTTATTAGGCTGAGTCATATAAAATTGGTGATATCCAACCATTGTTTACCTCAAAACCTGATAATTTCATCATTTTCCCAAGCCAAAAAAAAAAGGTAGGACTGGAAAACAACTAAATCTTCAAAACTACCTATTGCTCAGCACATGTCATTTCCTAAGCAGCCTCAGTGGTTTGGGCATTGCCGGTATCCATTACAACCTGACATCTTCATGGTACCTAAAAGATAACAAGTGAATTGCCTCTGGTATTTGGAGGGGCCTGAGTGTATCCTCCTCGATTCTTCTTTCCAACCCAGTCTATTTACTGCCAACTCCCTCTCCGCTTCCTCCTTGAAACATTAAGACCCTTTTCCAAGAGTACAAATGTGGCAAAGAGGACAGCTGAGGGCTGGAAGGCAAAAGGTGATGGTAAGAATGCAGATCTGTAAGAAGGGAGGGCCAAAGGGAAAGCATGTCAGAGTAAGTGAGGAGCAAGAGGCAGGGGGAGGAGAGCGGACGGGCCGCCCACTCACTAAGGCAGTACTTACGTGGTGGCGAGCATCACACCACACTGGGAAAATTAAACAGGTCCAAGTCCAGATGGAAAGAAGGGAAAATTTACTTCTTTCGAACATATTCAGCAACCCATCTATCTCAGGAGCTACCACAACCAGCACTCCCATGCCAGCCCACCACCATCACAGCCACCCCCAGCACTATGGACGTAATGCAGGCATACACAACACTATTGGAACTACAGACTAACAGAACAGAGGCCGTGTGAATACCTAGATACAAAAATTTATCTCTTTATGCAATGTATTTTCTTCTGAGATGGAGTAGAGACGGTTTAAATGATTTCCCTCTTACCAGGAGACCCATTAAATGAGCACCCTACATAAGCTGCTTTGTTTTGTTTTGTTTTGTTGCAAGAACAAGCAGCCAACTGCAAAATAAACTTTTTGAACTCTTTTTAGTACCATTTATCTATTTCACATTCCCTATTTTTTAAAATTAATTATCTGAAGAAAGGACATAGGGTCAAAATCTGCATTCTGACTGCAGAGTCCTGGTTCACATGTTAGGTGCAACCTATTGTTTTGTTCATATCCAATCAGAATTTCAGAACACATTAAGACCAGGAGAGGAAATGCATGAAGGAAATGCATGTGGAGAAATGCATAAATTCTACCTTCAGAGGCACTCTTCACTGTTCTAGTACCAACTTTCCCTTTTAAACAGAGATATTACGATATAATGTGGACCACTATAATGTTGAAGGTATATGTGTTAATGACGGCAATAGCTAAATGATAGCACTAATAGTAGCAGAGAACGGAAATCATTATTATTATAATAGGTATGCCAAGCATAGAGAGCTACTGCAAATATAACAGCCTGGAATTAGTAGACCAGTTGGAATTCCACCACCCATTGTGAAAGAGAGTTAGAAAATGACATTATGTTAATATAGTGATGGAATAAGAGTGTGAACATAGTTAAGGAGTGCTAGCTAAGGTATGTGAAGACTATACATGCATGTGTGGAAGCTACCAGGTAATAACTAAGCAAACCCACTCTGAAGAGCTAGAGGCTGCCTAAGAACCAACTGGTCAACCTCATAGAGAGGAGCCCTAGGCCACTGGTAATTACCACTGAGATCAAAACAGGGTCTGGCGAACATCAGCAGGCAAAACAGGGAAGCTGACATAAAAGACAAGGGGAACAGGTGTTACCTAACGCCTTGGAGTCCTATATAAAAAGACTATATTTATAATTCAACACCAAATAAAAACAAATAATCCAATTAAAAAATGGGCAGAGGGGCACCTGGGTGGCTCAGTCATTGGGCGTCTGCCTTCGGCTCAGGTCATGGTCCCAGGGTCCTGGGATCGAGCCCCGCATCGGGCTCCCTGCTGGGTGAGGAGCCTGCTTCTCCCTCTCCCACTCCCCCGCTTGTGTTCCCTCTCTTGCTCTCTCTCTCTGTCAAATAAATAAATAAAATCTTAAAAAAAAAAAAATGGGCAGAAGACATGAATAGACATTTTTCCAAAGAGACATACAGATGGCTAACAGACATGTAAAGATGCTTAATCATCAGGGAAATGCAAATCAAAGCCTCAGTGAGGTATCACCTCACACATGTCAGAATGGCTGAAATCAAAAACACAAGAAACAACGTGTTGGTGAGGATGTGGAGAAAAAGGAATCCTCATGCACTGTTGGTGGGAATGCAAGCTGGTGCAGCCACTCTGGAAAACAGTATGGAGGTTCCTCAAAAAGTTGAAAATAGAGCTACCACATGATCCAGCAATTGCACTACTGGGTATTTACCCCAAAGATACAAATGTAGGGATCCGAAGGGGTATGTGCACCCCGATGTTTATAGCAGCAATGTCCACAATAGCCAAACTATGGAAAGAGCCAAAATGTCCATTGACAGATGAATGGATAAAGAAGATGTGGTGTATATATATATATATATATACAATGGAATATTATGCAGCCAAAAGTTTTTAAGAAGAATTACCATATGATCCTGTAACTCTACTACTGGATATTTACCCAAAGAAAATGGGAACACTAATTTGAAAAGATATATGCACCCCTATATTTACTGCAGCATTATTTACAATAGCCAAGATATGGAAGCAGCCCAAGGGTCCACTGATAGATGAATGGGTAAAGAAGATGTGGTACATACACACACACACACACACACACACACACAGTGATTACTCAGCCATAAAAAGAATAAAATCTTGCTACTTGCAACAACATGGATGGAACCAGATGGCATAATGCTAAGTGAAATAAGTCAATCAGAGAAAGAAATACCACATGATTTCATTCATGTGTGGAATTTAAGAAACAAAACAAATGAAAAATTTAAAAAAGAGACAAAAAAAAAAACCAGATTCTTAAATACAGAGAACAAACTGGTGGTTGCCAGAGGGGAAGCAGGTGGACAGATGGGTGAAACAGATGAAGGGGAGTACATTCATCCTGATGAGTACCGAGAAATGTATAGAATTGTTGAATCAATAAATTGTACACCTGAAACTAACATAACACTGTTAATTGTACTTGAATAATAAGTTTTAAAAAGAAAGGGAAAGCTAAATTTAGTTAAAATGGTAGGTAAAATTAATAAATATTTTTTGAATTCATATAAAAGGACAAAATGAACAGAGAAATTGCAAGCAACCATACCTTCTCCACACAGAATGGTTCGTTTTTGGAGTGAGCAAAAAAAACAAAACCCTAAAGCATAATTTTCAAATTCAGAAATCACATCAATTTGATCTTGGTTTTGAGCTACAGACAATGTTTTCAAACAACAGGACATAAAGTCAAGGAATTGGTGTGCATCTCTATTAGCAGACAGCTGCTTATAAATTTGGTTTAGAGTCAGAACAGTATTCTTGGAAAAACCAATTGTGTTCAATTTATAACTGATGTAACCAAGTGTTTATTACAGTAAAGTGCACAATGGAATACTACACAGCAATGAGAATGTTTGATCAAAACCACATCCAAAACCATGGAAGAACATATGAAATAACATTAACGTTAACTAAGATAAACCATCCGATCCATTTATTCAAAATACGAAAACAATCACAATGAAAGGACTGGGAAAGTGAACCCTGCACACACGTACAAAACTGAAACAGGTGGCTGCACAATCATCACTGAAGGAATCTGTTAAACACGGGGATTCTTGGGAACTACCCTGATGCTTATTCCTGAATTTTAAGAGTTTACTTTTTTGGAAAGCTTTCCCTGGGTACTCTGGAGCACGGCCACACTGAAGAACCAGTGCTGGGGTAACAGATGGAAACTACCAGAGAAGCAGTGTCTCAATTCAAGAGTCTGGGCTAGACCATGAGACACATTACATATGCTAGTTCATTTACCTAATCTTCACAACAACTCTCTAAAGAGATTTCAGTATCCCAGTTTCCCAAAGAGGTGACTAAGGGGCCAGTCTGAAGGTCAAGTGACTAGCCCAGGATGCTAAAGTGACAAAGAACAAATGTCACCTCGTGACTTCCTTCTTATGAGTTCTTTAGTGGTGCCCCCTGCCTAATATGTAATATATTCTAAACTCCTTCACAGGTACCCTCCAAAAACATGGCCCCCGACTCTACTTTAAGCACGTCACTCCTTCAGCCACCCA